AAAGCTGAAGCTCCCTATGACATCCAGGATTGCCAATCTCCCACTTCTGCTTGGTCCATTCCCGGGTTGTCTGCATCTCCATCCCCATCGTCATCACTCTTCCAGGCCCTCCCTCTGTGCAACTACATCTGTAATGAGACGTTTTCTGCTTATTGGGGACCGGAAGGAAGTCCTGGGGCCTGAGTCGTCCCCTTGGAAAGACAGTTTTTAATACAGGCATTGTGCAATCTGTGTGCTTGACACAATAAGAGGTTTCACTTCCTGAGATGGACAGAATGCCGCCAGATTTTATGTCCAGGCCACAGGGCCGGGATGAAACAGGGCAGAACTGTAGCGATTACTACATCAAGGGGCATTGCCCCATGGCTCCAAAATTTCCCTTGAGCAGAAAGAATGAGGGCTCATGCACTATGGATACTGGTGGATGAAGAAGATGGAGAAGTAGTTTCATTCCTGACCTCTATCTCAAGTCCCAGAAACAGAACGGATTCATTCAGAAATGATGCTTGAGTCCCTTGCCTACTTCTCTTACTACTGCTGGCTTTCGTCTTCCTTCACTTGACTTCTAATCACATCACCAATTCTGATTCTCTGTCAGGAGAACCCACAGAGCTACCAGACCACCAGGTCCCCAGCACAAAGAGTCTGAGGAAGGTGGTAGTTCTTTCAATGAGACTTGAGGATCAAGGGTTCATTTCCAGAGTGGATCCTGTGATGGCAAAACAGAGTCTGCAGAACCAGACCTCCACTTTTATGAGGGCTTAGACTTAGGAGATGACTACAAGTCCCCAAACCCACAACAAATGGATGTATTGAACAGGTTGCAACTTTTAGATTCCATGTGGAACATACAACATCCCGAAGATGGGCTTCTTGCATCTACCTTCCTGATATCAAGATTTGTTGTGATTGTTGTTTAGTCACTAAGTCATGTCTCACTCTTTTGTGACCCCAAGGACTGTACCCCTCCAGGCTCCTCTGTCCATGGGATTTTCCAGGGAAGAATACTGGAATGGGTTGCCATTTCCTCCTCCAGGGGATCAAACCCATGTCTCCTGCATTGCTGCAGCAAAGTTTTACTGCCAGAACTTGCACATCACACAGTGTGCTTGTCCTGGCTCTAAAAGTTCACAAGCTCCTAGGGGAACCTGGTAAGTGAACCAGGTTCTGATTCAGTGCTATAAGTGCTATGGGGTTTCCCTGGTGGCTCGGTGGTAATTTTACCTGCCACTGCAGAAGACACAGGTTCAATCCCTGATCCGGGAAGATCCAAATGACATGGAGCAACTGAATCCATGAGCCACAACTATTGAACCTGTGCTCTAAAGCCTGGGAACTGCAACTACTGAGCCAGTGTGCTGCAACTACTTAAGCCCGAGTTCCCTACAGCCTGTGCTCTGCATCAAGAGAAGCCCGTGCACCAAATCTAGAGAATAGGCCCTGCCCGCCAAAGCTAGAGAAAGCCCATGTACAGCAATGAAGATCCAACACAACCAAAAATAAATACATAATAAAATTATTTTTTAAATGTGCTATAATATAGGTGACAAAGGGGGTAGAGAAGGCATCATTCCTAGACTCCACGCACCAGTTTTGACCTGATTATTTATTCATTCATTCTTCCAGGGCTACCCTGGGGCAGTGCCCAGGCAGGCATGCTTCTGGTGTCTGAGTTAAACAAAGTCTAGTGCATTTCTGTACCCTAATAACAAAATACCTAAAAGAGAAATAAAGAAAACAGTGCCATTTACAAAGCGTCAAAGCAACAAAATACTTAGAAACAAATTTCTAAGAAGGCGAAAAGACCGGTACACTGAAAATTAGAACACACTGATGAAAGAAATCAAAGACACGAATAAAGGGAAAGATATCCCATGTTTTGGACTAGGATAACTAATATTTTTTAAATGCATTTTATTTTTAATTAGATGATAATTACAGTATTTTGATGGTTTCTGCTATACATCAACATGAATCAGCCATAGGTATACATATGTCCCCTTCCTCTTGAATGTCCTTCCCACCTCCATCCCCATCACACCCCTCTAGGTTGTCCATACTACCTAAAGCCATCTATAAATTCACCACAATTCCTATCAAAATTCCAACAGCATATTTCACAGAAATAGAAAACAACTCAAAAATTTGTATGGAATCACCAAAAACATTGAATAGCCAAAACAATCTTAAAAACAACAAAGCTGAAGGTATCACACTTTCTGATTTCAGACTATTGTTACAAAGATATATATCTCAATTTAGAGATATATAACATGTATATAAAAGATTATTATTTAGCCATAAAAAATAAAAGAATAAAATCCTACCTTTGTGCCAACACAGATGAACTTGAGGGGCATTATGCGAAGTGAAATACGTCAGAGAAATACAAAAGCTAGAGATCCCACCTATACATGGAATCTTAAAAAAGAAATAAAAGCAAAGCTCATAGGAGCAGAGAAAAGAATGGCAGTTGCCAAGGGCTAGATGAGATAAATGAGAGATGTTGGTCAAAAAGTATATATGATGCTTTCAGTTTTAGGATAGCTAAGTTCTGGGAATCTAATGTACAGTATAGCGATCATTATGAACTGTACTGTATTACGTATCTTGTGGACTTCCCTGGTAGTTCAGGTGGTAAAGAATCCACCTGCAATGTGGGATCACCTGGGTTCCATCCCTGGGTAGGGAAGATCCCTACCCAGAAAGGAATGCAGAAAGGAATGGCAACCCACTCCAGTATTCTTGCCTGGGAAAGCCCATGGACAGAGGAGCCTGGTGGGCTACAGACCATAGGGTTACATGACTGAGCAATTAACACTGCACTGCACTGTATCATATAGCTGAAATTTGCTAAGAAAGTAAATCATACATGTTCTCAACACTATGTGTATTATATATGTATACATATGTACACACATATAGTACATATGTGTATTTGTATATATGTATAAGTTTATGAATGATTAAACTTTTTTGCTATATGTATATATATACACACATATGTATATAAAATCATCAACTTGTATACCTTGTGCTGTACTTAGTCGCTCAATCATGTCTGACTCTTTGCAACCCTGTGGTCTGTACCCCACCAGGCTCTTCTGTCCATGGAATTTTCCAGGCAAGAATACTGGAGTGAGTTGTCATTTCTTTCTCCAGGGGATCTTCCCAATCCAGGGATCAAAACTACATCTCCTGCATCTCCTGAATTGCAGGCAGATTCTTTTCCTCTGAGCCATCGGGGAAGCCCCTGTTGAACACCTTAAACTTATACAATTTTAATGTAAATTGCGTTGCAATAAAGCTAGAGGAAAAAAAGGTCTAATGTCTAATAACTCTTGGAGCTACCAACAGATATAGTCTCAGCCGAATATTCTTATTTTGAAATTTTTTGCCTTTCAGACTTAAAAGAAAAAAAATTCTGTTAGGCAAAAACCATCTCTGCAGTTTTTATGTCGCCCCACCATGAGGCATGCGGGATCTTAGTTCCCCAATCAAGGATCGAACCTAACCGCACTGCAGTGGAAGTGCAGAGTCTTAATCACTGGACCTCCAGAAAAGACCCCAACGTCTCTGCATTTTAAAAAGAGAATGTGATTATGAAACTTATTCACAATCTTTTCAAACAGGTTCTCAATCCAGGTTTGTTTCACTGTCCATCAAATATTGATGTCGATTCCATATGCAATTGGCTAGGATACCAGCACCTGGTCAGAATGGGGTGGATGAGCTTGTCTCCAAGGTTCCCCCAGCTCCATCTGAAGCCTGCACCCCTGCACAATGGTGTTTTCCCTGCCTCATCCTAGCAAGACCAGATGTCTCCCCAGAGGCTTCAGTAATTGACCCAGAGCCTCCAAGGTAGAAAACAGCATGATGGGTTCAGAATTCGCAGGGTTACTGTCACTTCCCTATGCTCACTTATCCATCTCCAAGTGAGAAGTTTCCTAAACTTAAGTGAAATGAGTGAGTGAGGGAGCATTTTCGTGTGTGTGCCTCTGTGTGTCCTCCACTTTGTCCCCAGAGATCCAAAATTAAAACATCCTTCTAATCTAGGAAAACCCACTATTTTTGTTTGACATCATCAGAAAAACCAACATATATTTGCATAATGACACATTTGCAAGAATGTGTCACGGTTTGCTACCACTTTCCCTCCCAAGAACTGGAGAATTATTTCTCTCCCAGAATTTGCCATCAATTCTTTTTTTTTTTTAAACTTGGTTGTGAAATCAGTTAACCAAAGGGGAAATCTCTCAGCTCTCCACTTCTGCTTTTGAAGGCCATAAAGTAGTGTAGGAGAAACCAGTAGACAGTATACCTGCTTGGAGGCACAGCAAGCCACTCAAGAATTCTATTCTCTCCAGCCAACCTTCATTGCCCAGGTACCACTTTAATTCTTCCTTCTGACTAGGTCTTAAAGGAGTCTCTCTCTCTCTCTCTCTTTTTTCTGTCTTCCTCCCTCTCTCTTCTCTTCCCTATCTGTCTGACAGCTGGGCTTTCTGCAAAACTGCCAGTTGTGTTATAATGCCATAACTTGCAAAATAATAGGGGAATTAATACCACTTATCTAGCAGCTGGCATCTGAGAGCTCAGGACCCTACCTCTGCCTCAAATCACCTAAGAGATCCGCTCCTGGTTTGGGTTTGGTTTAGCAAATGCTTTACTCTGGACCCCTGTGGCTCAGCTGGTAAAGAATCCGCCTGCAATACAGGAGACCTGGGCTCGATCCCTGGGTTGGAAAGATCCCCTGGAGAAGGGAAAGGCTACCTACTCCAGTATTCTGGCCTTGAGAATTGCGAAGAGTCAGACACAGCTGAGTGACTTTCACTTACTCTGAACCCAAAGGATGATTTTCATGCATTCACTCATTCATTCAAAAGTGGCTTCTTTGCCTGCCTGCCAGGTACAAGATGCTGAGGGCAATTCACATGTAAAGAAGGCAGTCCTCATGGGGACTAGCATGGCAATGGTCACTCATTTTTCTCCTCTTTGCACAGGTTTCTGAAGCAGCCATGGCAACTGTACCTGAACCCATCAACGAAATGATGGCTTACTACAGGTCAGTGGGAAAATTGATACCACTCGTGTGAGCAGGGCTTTCCTCTCAAGAGTGGATTTTTACATGCGGTTAGAGACCAGATTCATCTCCCAAACTGCCTCTTACAATGGCAAGCAGGGTTCCAAGTCAACCTGGTTTAAGGACTGATGTCCCACTGCAAGTCCAGTCATGGCACCCCTAGGCCACCCAGATGCTGCTTCAGGGGCTTCCTGTATATGGAAACAGGAAAGAAAGATTCCAAGTGAAGAATCCAGGGGATCCCTTGGCAGGTTTGGCTTAACTGAGAAGGAAAGCTCAGATTTTCACCGGGCTGGAAGTTAGGTCTCAGGATACAACAGAGAGCTCAGAAAGCAATGGGTACCCGCCCTCCTCCTGTGCTGTCCCATGTATATTACCATGGCAACTGCCTGCTTCAGGCAGCCCTAAGGAACACGTTGTTTGCAGTTTCCTATTGCCCAGCTTCCCAGGTGGCTCAGTGGGTAAAGAATCTGCCTGCAATGCAGGAGACACAGCAGACATGGGTTCGATCTCTGGATCCAGAAGATGCCCTGGACGAGGTGTGGCAATACTCCAGTATTCTTGCCTAGAGAATCCAATGCACAGAGGAGCCTGGTGGTCTACAGTCCACAGGATTGCAGAGTCAGACACAACTGAAGCAACTTAGCACACATGCATTGATGATGAAGATTATCAACTGGGAAGAAAAGCTAATCTTGCCCAGGAGATATAATTGAGCAACCTCTCTGTTTTTATTACAGTGACGAGAATGAGCTGTTATTTGAGGCTGATGGCCCCAAACAGATGAAGGTGAGTCCATGGGCTTTGCTCCCAGCATGTTGAGGGGCTCTGACACAGGAAAGACTCAAGGGACGTGTTCTGGGCCGGCTTGTTCCTATGGAATTTTGTGATAGAATGACTTTCTCCTCTTCCAGTGAGACAAACGGAAGCTGGCCACTCTGCAACTCCCACGCCACCAGTGTTTCACTGAGGCTTGGTGATCCTGGTCATGCTTGCAGAGGCTTTTAGAAGGGGAATTTTAGTAGAGATAGTGCTTGCTGTCTTGTGTTAGGAAGACAGTTCAGGCTTCCAAGCAAATTTAATTCTTCTTTTAGGAGAGGTGTTCAGCTCTAAAAGTGATGAAGCTACCTTAATCACTTGAACTGAACCTGACCCAGAGGAGATGACCTTGAGAATGAACATGTCTGCCTCCTTTAAGGGTGGGGTTGTTTTTTGCTCCCTGAAGTGGAGCTTAAGGACAAATCATGATGTAAACAAAAAGTTGAGTTTGGGAAGTACAAGAAAATTATTCACTTGCCATTGAATCTTGAGCAAGTCATTTTACCCCTTTGATCCTCGTCTGAAAAATAAGGGTCATAAGCAGGATGATGTCCGAGACCCTACTATCCTGCAGCCCTTGGCTCTGAGATATTACCTGCAGGAGCTAAGTTTATCTAGCAGAAGAGTGTTTCTTTGTGGGTGTGTGCTCACTCACTCAATAGTGTCTGACACTTTGTGACCCAGAGAGCATTGTTGCCCCTCCAGTTGTCCCTCCTCTTCTGCAAGTGTACTAACTTCTGTAATCTAATAACTCTCTCAGATAGTCCAGCCATCAGCCTAGCTAGTGCAGTTGTACCAATTAGCAGGCAGCTGTTCTCTCTCTCTGATGTTTTTAGTTTGTGACAACCTCCTCCAGCCTTATCTAGCATTCCTGTCTTGCTAAAAGTTCCTTTCTTTAAAGGTTTTAAAACAAGCATAACTGGTTTTCTCCAGTACTAGATGGAGCCCAGTTTCTCTGTTCAGCCCTGCCTCCCACAGTCCCTTGCAGCATTCTGGCTCTCTCTCATGGGGCCTCTGCTCTGGGCAGAATGTCCCTCCCACTCAGCTTTCCTCTGTGTTGTTACAGGTCTCTTGAGCTGTCCTTCAAACTTTTTTTAAAATTTTTCCTTTTTTTTTCATTTATTTTTATTAGTTGGAGGCTAATTACTTTACAATATTGTAGTGGTTTTTGTCATACATTGACATGAATCAGCCATGGGTTTACATGTATTCCCCATCCCGATCCCCCCTCCCTGTCCTTCAGACTTTTAAACCATTATCATGCCTTGCAAGCAACTTCAGTTAAGGCTTAATGCAGTTAGTTAAACAGTTTCTCTGAACTGAGAAACTATTTCATAATAGTAACCACTGTTTTGCAGGATGCTTATGAGAAAGCATTTGAGAAAAAGATTGTATAGAACATTGTTGATTGGGCAAGAGGCATATTGAAAATCTGATCATCATGGCCATGAAAAATGAAATACATAATGTTGGTGCACTAGGCTTCCAAAAAGATAAATAGTGTAAGAAGGTACAAGTTTATGGTTAGGTGGAGAATGTGTAAGAAAAGATAAGGTAAGAATGGATTTATCCTAGAAGAATGTTGTATACTGCATTAGAAAGCTTACATATGGTTTAGGGTCTGCCTCTCACTGGCCGCTAGGTTTTTGGATAAGCCACTTAACCTCTCTGGGCTGCGGGGAGATGAAAGTTTATCTTTAGAAGCTCTGTTTTCTCTTCTTGGGCTTCCCCGGTGGCTCAGTGCTAAAGAATCTGCCCACCAATGCAGGAGACGCAGAGGGTTTGGTCCCTGGGTCCAGAAGACTCCCTGGAGGAGAAAATGGCAATCCACTTTAGTAATTCTTGCCTGGAGAATCCCATGGACAGAGGAGCCTGGCTACAGTCCATGGGGTCTCTGAGTGTCGGACATGGCTGAGTGGCTGAGCACACATGAATCTCCTCCTTCCTCCTCTCTCCTGTCAAAACGGGAGTTGTCTGGCCCAACCACCTTCCAACACTGACTTCTTTGGTCTCTTCACAGAGCTGCATCCAACACCTGGACCTCGGCTCCGTGGAAGTTGGAAACATCCAGCTGCAGATTTCTCACCAGCTATACAACAAAAGCTTCAGGCAGGTGGTGTCGGTCATCGTGGCCATGGAGAAGCTGAGGAACAGTGCCTACGCACACGTCTTCCATGATGATGACCTGAGGAACGTCCTTTCATTCATCTTCGAAGAAGGTACCTAGTGAGAACTGAGGGCAGACATGAGATCGCTGGTCATTTCCTTCTCAGAGTCCATAACCTAACAGTCAGCTAACCCCCCTGAGGCTGAAACCCTTTAAAAGTAGAGGGCCCAGTAATGAGAGGAAAACAGAGACACCTAGAAACCCAGTTAATCATCTCTTCAGTTGAAATTAGTCTTTTTGTTTGTTTTGTCTTCCATCAGACTGATTTGTTCACTTAAAAGATTTTTTAAGGAATTCTTCCTTAATGAAATAATGATGTAACTGGCTAATCATGCTATGCATCCTAAAATTATGGAAGCTTTTCCAGAATTTACAGACCTGCCTAAAATGGTACCCAAAATGTTATATTTCAATACACTACTGTATAAAATTCAACTTGGTGATGGTTTTAGTCTCCTTTTTAGTTGTTGACACTATTCTTAAAATAGGACCTTGATAACTACTCATATTTGCAAAGCAGACAATCATTCTGGATGCTTTCATTTACATTATATCCTGTGAATCTCAGAATGTCCTTGTTGGGCCACATCGGTTGCCACCACCATTTTACATAAGTGACTCCATGGCTCATCCACAGCAAGTAATAGAGCTGAAGTTTGAACCTACTTCTTAGGGTGCCAGGCCCAGTGTTCTGACCCACCCCAACTTCGTCTCCACTGATGTTGTAATCGAGCATCAACTAGGCATGCTCAGATGTCCTCCAAGGAAACAAATTCTGCCTCCCATCATCACCTGGGCATCTCCCTAAAAAATGTCTGTGCTCCACATTTTAGAGCCTGTCGTCTTCGAAACGTCCTCCGACGAGTTTCTGTGTGATGCAGCCGTGCAGTCAGTAAACTGCAAACTCCAGGACCGAGAGCAAAAATCCCTGGTGCTGGCTAGCCCATGTGTGCTGAAGGCTCTCCACCTCCTCTCACAGGAAATGAGCCGAGAAGGTACCTGGGGACTTTGTCTCTTTTCTTGGCCTCCTCGTTGCTTGCTAATTCTCTACATTTTCAACAGAGCAGACCATTAAGGAAAATGATCCATGGCAGTGAAATAACATATAATAAGGGACATTCTGGGGCTTCCCAGGTGGCTTAATGGTAAAGAATCTGCCTGTCAATGCAGGAGACATAGGTTCAATCCCTGGATCAGGAAGATCCCCTGGAGAAGGAAATGGAAACCCACCCCAGTATTATTACCTGGGAAATTCCATGACCTAGAGGGCTATAGTCAAGGGGGTTGCAGAGTCAGATATGATTTAGCAACTAAATAACAACAACAATGAAGGACATGCAAACATTTTGTTTGGATTCTAGTGATGAGACCACATTGAGTCCCTTAGTACGTTCATTTTTCAGCAACAGAGGTGACTCTGAGAAATTAGACTGCTCCAGCAAGTCCAGGACCACTGCCCATCCAAGTCATTTAATGGCAATGCTTCCGTTAGAAAGAGGTCATTTGATGGACATGACCTAACTGCCTGTGGGTTCTTTCTTCCGGTTGTTGGGGTTGAAACTAGAATGGTGAGGAGATAATTTGTCCCTCCTCATTCCCAACCCTGCCCCCTCACCCCTAACATCCTTCCCATCCAAAACCAGATGGTTCCTTAGAGGGAAACCTAACTGACAAGCAGGAACTTATATCTCTCCACTATCACCAGCAACTTTTTTATTTTTCTTTTTAAATTTTTCTTTATTTTTGGCTGTGTGGGTCTTTGTTGCTGTGAGGGCTTTTCTCTACTTGTGGTGAGCTGGGGCTACTCTCTAGCTGTGGTGCAGGGGATTCACATTGCATGGCTTCTCTTGTTGTAGAGCATGGGCTCTAGGGTGAGGGGGCTTCAGTAGGTGGTTCATGGGCTCTAGAGTACAGTGTCAGTAGCTGTGACGCACGGGCTTAGTTGCTGTGTGGCATGTGGGATCTTCCCGGACCAGGAATTGAACCCGTGTCTCCTGCATTGTCAGACAGATTCTTTACCATTGAGCCACCAGGGAAGCCCATGTCACTGGCAATTGTTTTAAGTCCAGGGATGGCCCGTGGGTTGCAGGAATCTGTCTGGCACTTTGCCACTGTGGCTGAACCCTGTATGGAGGGGTACAACCAAGGGGGCAGCTGAAAGGAACAGCCAGACTGTTCTCTTCAAAGGGTGCTGACCTTGAAGAGAGGCATCCCTGAGAGAAAGCATCCTGGTTTCAACCAAGCCAAGACAACCTTGTTTCTTTAGAACAGCGTTGTGAGCATGACCTTGGGGCCTCTAAGTGAGACAGCTGTAACTAAGGAAGATTAAAACTGCATGTCTTTTCTTTGGAACCACTTTTCCCAGCTAATCTTTTCCTTTCCCAGGCCCTTCCCACTTGTCTCTTTATAGTCCTGAAACAGATCCATGCCCAGTGTCTTTCAGGAGCCCAGCTTCATCTCTTTTCTCAATTTTCATGTTGATCATACTGTTATGTTCTTGTGGATGGGCACATTACCAGTCAGGGACATGAGAGCTTTCTCCTATTTCTAAAAATTAGACCCCCTGATTTTTCACTGCCACTCTGATGAATCTCTGAGAAGCCCCCAGACCGTTTGAGGGAAAAAGCTGTTTCAAGAAACTGAAGCTGCTATGATCTGTGGGATTACCCTATCTGTTAGGCTGTAGGAACCTCAGTGGGTTGCCATAGGAACCTCAGTGTAGGTTCTCACAGAGGATGCTATACTGTAGAGTCTTGGGCTTGGGGTCCAGGGTTTGGGCTGACCCTGCAGTGCCATGTCCCTGACCACAAGACCCCTCTCCTCTCCCCAGTGGTGTTCTGCATGAGCTTCGTGCAAGCAGAGGAAAGAGACAACAAGATTCCTGTGGCCTTGGGTATCAGGGACAAGAATCTATACCTGTCTTGTGTGAAGAAAGGTGATACTCCCACCCTGCAACTGGAGGTGAGTGAGTACCAGGGGCTGAAGGCCCTTCTCAGGCTCTTCTGGGGCATCCCTAGCCATCACTTACTTCAAAGACAACTAACTTTCCCCCTTCCCTGGAACCTCTGGGAGTAGATCTACATGATAATTTTGCATAAATGGAAATCTATTTAATGTAAATGTTAAATGCATGTAGCTATCACTCCCATTACAAAAAAATAAATTATTCTGCAGATTTTCTTCTGTCTTGCCACCCAACAGATAGTACATTGTTAGAGTTCCTCCATTTGATGGGGCTTCCCTGGTGGCTCAGAGGTGAAGAATCTGCCTGCCAACACAAGAGATGCCAATTAGACCTCTGAGTCAGGAAGAACCCCTGGAGTAGGAAATGGCAACTCACTCCAGTATTATTTCCTGGAAATGCTATGGACAGAGGAGCCTAGTGGGTTACAGTCCACAGGATCACATAAGAGTAGGACACTTCTGAGTGACTAAACAACAACCATCATTTGATAGATGACACTTTGAGGACTTAATCAGTTCAAGGGACCAGTCACTGCCATCTCCACTACACTCCCCAAATCACACCTCCTCCTCCTCCTACCAGTTTTCCCAGCAAAAATTTCATGTCCAACTTGAAGTCATTCTAGCCAGAGCCATGAGGAAAAACACAGGATAAGTCCCTGGAAACTAGCTACACCTAGAAGCTTTTACCTAATTTTCACTTTTGAAAACATTTCCACCTATATTATACACCCCAGCATTTGATGGTAAGCTTCAGAGAAGGACAAATGTGCCTTCTGTCACCACACAGAAGGCCAGGGTCCCAAAGACAACTCAGGAGCCTGGCTCCCAGACCTGAACCCTGCTAATCCATTTTTAAACGACCCAGAGAACAACTTTGTCCAGACTAGAGTAGAGTGTCTTTGCCCTTTCCTTCTTAAAGATGTTTATTTCTGTTTTGCTACAGGAAGTAGACCCCAAAGTCTACCCCAAGAGGAATATGGAAAAGCGATTTGTCTTCTACAAGACAGAAATCAAGGATACAGTTGAATTTGAGTCTGTCCTGTACCCTAACTGGTACATCAGCACTTCTCAAACTGAAGAAAAGCCCGTCTTCCTGGGACATTTTAGAGGTGGCCAGGATATAACTGACTTCAGAATGGAAACCCTCTCTCCCTAAAGAAAGCCATACCCAGGGAGTCCACGTGGGCTGAATAACCCTGAGGACTGGCAGAAAGGAAGAGAAGAACACAGCTGCAGCCTGAACTTCACTATTGTCTGATCCATGACCAACTGCCTGCCCTGTATTAGTGCTTAGAGATCTCCCCACCAGCCAGGAGGAACAATCCCTTCCTCCCAGCGCCCGTCCTCGGACCCCATCCACTGAGCCACCCCTCTCTCACTTCTACTCACTCAAAGCCAGTCTGGCAGAAACCATGGCACACTAGTTCCAAAGAAATCCTCTGTCCTTTGCACCCAGCTCCTGATGAGCAACCACTTAACTATTTATTTATTTATTTATTGATGGGTTAGTCTATTTAATTTAGTTCCAGGGGGCCAAGAAGCAGCCGCATCTGTGAAAAACCCTAGCCTTCAATAACTATGGAACCAATTTCCTTTGGGCTAGTGTGCCATCCTTCTGTCAAGTCCTTTCACCAAGCCTGAAAGCATACCAGCTCAGGTTATTTAAATAGAATTATTTATGAAGAGGGAAGAATGATCAGATTGTTCAATGATTCTGAAATAAATTTCACTGTAAACAAATGTTTTTTTCCACATGGTCATTGACTTGTCTGGGATCTGATGTAGAAGAGTAAAGATGAATGGAGTCATGAGCGTTCTCCTGGGGGAATTAGAAACCTCCTCATCCCTGAATGCAAAGTGCTTAGGAATATCACTGGCCAACAAAGACCAGCTTGAATGCCCTTCCCTTTCACTTCTGTTATTCAACAAAAGTATATATGGTAACAAGTTTCCTCTGAAAAACAGGATCAGCTAGAGTATTATAGGGAGTAAGGGCTGGTGGTAACAGCTTCCAAGTGTTTCTCTGTTCACTTATTCAACAAACACATCTTAAGCCAGTGTTATGTCCTAGGGGCTGAGAGTACAGAAACCAGAAAGGTAAGGCGTTCCTAGTTAGATAGGGAAGGTGGATTTTTAAAAATAAGCATAACAAGTAGAGACATGGCAAAGTATGAAAGGAGCAGCTAAGAGGAGTGACAAGACTTGCTCTGGAGACCAAGGGTCAAGTTGTGTGATGTTTGAATCAGGCCTAAAAGGATGAGCAAGAGTTCCCCACACAAAGAAAAGGAGAGCGTAGCCTAGATAGATGGACCAGTATAACACAGGCATGGAGGATGAAAGAATGAAGGAGGCCAAGAGGAAACTTTCAGGATTGCAGAAGTCACCAGTCAAAACACAAAAACAACACAGGGGAAGAAAGGAATTGTAATCTCAGACAAAGAGATAATTTGTTTAATATATAGAGTTCCCACAAAATAGTAGAAAAAAAGCAATCATGAAAATCCACCAAAACAATAAGCAGAAATGTAATAAAACAACATATTAATAGGTTGTCTTCTGAAAAGGAAATACCATTTGATCTTGGACAGAGTAAAAGATGCTCCATATTACTTAGAATAAAGTTGAATTAACAGCATTTTGAGATTAAACTCTTTTATCAGATTAGCAAATACCAAAAGTTTAACATCACCCTCCACTGGGAAGACTGGGGAAACACTCACTCCTGAACATTACAATGCATGTATGAGGAGAATAAATGGGTTCAACTCCTACAGAGGAAAATTTGATAATAACTATGAACATTACAAATACACATCCCCCTATGGCCCAGCAATTTCACTTTGGGGGGTTTATTCTACAAGTGGACATACAGTCATGTGCAATAATGACCAAAATGATTCATTGTGCATCACTTGTAACAGCTAAAGATGAGAAACAGCTCAAGTTTCTACCAAAGAAGACTGGCTAAATGAACTGTGAGACATTCATAGAATGAATTATGGGGCATTTGTAGAATGAATTATGGGAATCCTCTCCAAGATATTATGAAAACTAAAAAAGAACAAGAGGCAGTGTTTATAGTGTGCTAGCTTTTATGTGGGCTTCCCTAAGAGCTCAATCATTAAAGAGTCTGTCTGCAATGCAGGAGATCTGAGTTCAGTTCCTGGGTTGGGAAGATCCCCTGGAGAAGGAAATGGCAACTCACTCCATTATTCTTGCCTGGAGAATCCCATTGACAGAGGAGCCTGGCAGGCTACAGTCTATGGGGTCACAAGAGTCAGACACAGCTGAGCAACTAAGAACACAGCTTTTATGTAACAAAAGGCAGAAAAAAATATGTAAGGCAATCCTCTAATGTATAGCACATGGAACTCTGCTCAATGTTATGTGACAGCCTGGATGAGAGGGGCGTTTGGGAGAGAACAGATACATGTCTATGTATGGCTGAGTCTCTTTGCTGTCTACCTGAAACTATCACAACATGGTTAATCAGTTATACTCCAATACAAAATAAAAAGTTTAAAAAGAAATAAGGCAGTCCCTTCCAATGTCTTTTATCTGATTTCAAGAACTCTGGAAGATACATAACAAATTTAAAAAGTAGTCATGAGGGGCTGGGGAATAAGATACAAGAGGATAAGGGTGGGAGCAGGACATTTCTCTCAATACTTTTTATATTGCTTGATTTTTGAATCATGTGAACATATTAGCTACTCAAATAAAATAGTACTAAGTTTTTAAAGCCTTCTATCAAAACAAAAAAGGGGAGAGTGGCATATAACTTAGTTGGGGAAAAACAATGTGCCGGTCCTCAGTGGCTCGCTCCCAACACCCTCTCCTCCTTCTTCACAGTTCTCCAAGCCAGGGCACAAGATGTGGATGGAACTAGACCCTGCAAGCCAGCAAAGCCTCTCTCCCAGCTCAGTCTGTTTCCTAACTGCAGTGCAAAGGATGGAACGGCTGTTAGGAGCAGGCATCCAAGTGGTACCCATCCGCAACATGGACTAAGACTCCTGGGAGGCAAGTGGCTGCTTTGGGGGAGAAAGCAGAGGCACCCTGTGGGAGCCCCAGCAGTGGTATTGTTCCCTTCCCTTGGTTCAGCTCCACTCTCAGGCCCCAAAGAGAGGACATGCCAGTAAGATAACTGACAAACTGTGAAGGCATCTCACTCATCTGTGTGTAGGTGCTCAGTCGCTTCAGTTGTGTCTGACTCTTTGCGACCCCATGGACCATAGCACACCAAGCTCCTCTGTCCATGGGATTCTCCAGGCAAGAATGCTGCGGTGGGTTGCCATGGCTTCTTCCAGGGGTCTTCCCAACCCAGGGATCGAACCCGAGTCTCCTGTGTCTCCTGCATTGCAGGCAGATATTTTTAGTGCCTGAGCCACTGGGGAAGCCCTGCAAATCATCTCTGTGAGAGTAATTTAGTAAAGCCATTTTGGAGAGAAAATTGATAGTGTCTAATTTATTTTTTTTAATATTTATTTTCATATTTGTCTGTGCCAGGTCTTAGCTGCAGTGTGCAGGATCTTCGAACTTCATTGTGGCACGCAGGATCTTTAGTTGTGGCACACAGACTCTAGTTCCCTGACCAAGGATCAACCCGGATCTCCTACCTTGGGAGCATGGAGTCTCAGCCAGTGGACCACCAGGGAAGTCCTGACAGTGCCTAATTTATTTTTAACATGACTTACTGTTCCCCTACTGGGTGTCTCCCCTAAAGCAAGTTTAAGAACTTTTACTTTAGAATTGTTTAGGAAAAAGTAAACTGGAAACAAGCTAAACATCCTTTGTTAGAAAAAATCTTAAATAAAACACAGCAAATTAAAAAGAAAAAGAGAGCACTGAAAGGAGAGAGATCCAGGTGAATCATTGTGTGCAAAAGTCAGACTGCAGAACTCTAAGCACAGAATGAGATCATTCACATAAAAGAAAAAATAAACACTGCCCATCCAAAATGTATAATCTGGACTTCCCTGGTGGCCCAGTGGCTAAGACTGTGCTCCCAATGCAGGGGGCCAGGGTTTGATCCCTGGTCAGGGAACCTAAATTCTACATGCCACAACTAAAGATCCTGCATGCGGAAGCTTAAAAAAAAAAAAAAGATCCTGCATGCCACAATGAAGATCAGAGATCTAAAATCCCAGGTGCCACAACTAAGACCCAGCACAGCCAAACAAATAAATAAATATATTTTGGGGGAAAAAAAAGTAAAATGCATACCAAGCGATTCTAAGAGTATGGAAGGCAGAGAGCCCTGGAGAGTACAGACCAGACTGAAAATAGTGGGATGGGACTGGGAGGGGGTCATCAAGAGGAACTTCAACTTTATTTATAATGTTCGAGTTTTTTATCAGAGGAATATATTCATGAATTATACAAATATATATACATATGTACTTACATTTTAATATTTTTCATTAAGATATTGTATTTTAATTGTGTTTCAATTCCTGTACCTGAGACAAAGACTTAAATAGAGCCTCCAAGGGCTGCTCTATTTCTGGTTTGTGGCCAAGTTATTTCCCAAAACCAGCTCTCCCCCTCTGCACTGAGGAGCCTTATCCTGGAAAAGAAAAATGGCCTATTTTTTTCATGTATCATTCCATGGCTTCTTTTTTGGTTGCTGCTCTTAATTAATTTTTTTTGGAGTATAGTTGCATTGCAATGTTGTGACAGTTTCTACTATACAGCAATAGCCCCTTCCTTTTGGAATTTCTTCCCATTCAAGCCACCCAGATCATTGAGTAGAGCTCCCTGCGCTATACAGTATGTTCTCATTAGTTATTTATCTTATACATAGTATCTATAGAGCATAAATGTGAATCCCAACCTCCCAGTCCCCCTTGATGTCCATACCTTTGTTCTCTACATATGTGTCCCTGTTTCTGCTTTGCAAATAAGCTCATCTATACCATTTTTCTAGATTCTACATGTATATGTGAAAGATAGAGGCACCCCAGTATGCATAGCTGCATTATTTACAACCGCAAGGACAGGGAAGCAACCCAAGTGTCCATCAACAGATGAATGGATAAAGAAGACATGGTACATGTATACAAATGGAATATTACTCAGCCATTGAAGGAACTAAATTGGAGACCTAGATGGACCCAGATAGAGCGTGTCATAGAGTGAAGTAAGTCAGAAAGAGAA